AGCGCCCCGCAGGGTCCCGGCACCCGCCCCACGCCAGCGCCGACGCCTCTCCCCGGCCGGGCCCTCCTGGAAAGAGAACCGAGCCGCGCGCCGGCTCCGGGAGCCTCGCGCCCCGCGCCAAGCCCACCACCGTCGGGGCCCTAAAGGAAAGAGAAGAGAAAAGCCAGCGGCCGGCCCTGCGCCTGGTGGAGAGAGAAGGGTGGGGCGGGAATGCTGCAGCCGGGTGGGCGTCCCTCTGTCACAGGAAAAGAAAGCAAAGGTCCCGGCGTCTGTTAAGAGACCTTGGGGGTTAGTGGCTGGTGAGACCCAGCTCCGCAGCCCAGTCCCGAAGCCTGCAGGCCCGCGGATCCCGAGGCCACGGCCATGCCCGCGGGCGCTGGCGCTGACTGCGGGCTGTCTGTGTAGCTAAGTGGGGCGGGCCTCTCCCTCCCCGGGTGGCGAGGACAACTGCTTCCTTCTTCTCCCCACGGGCAGGTCCCCTCAGCCCACCCCAAAGCCTTCCCAGAGGACTGCGAGCTCCCCAGGGCTCTGTCTCCCTCATGGCAGAGCACGGCGGGGGCCCCCAACTTCGCGTGCCCCACCAAAGAGGTCAGAGGAGCCCGCGCGCTCCTGGCTTTGGAAACCAGCACTCTTGGAAACCTGGCCAGCCATACCTGTGTTGGCCCTGACGGAAGCCGGGTAGCTGACCGCCCGGCCCCGCTCCGCTGTGACAGTCACCACATACTCCACGCCTGGCATCAGGTCAGTTAGCAGCATCCTGTCGGCTTCGGGGGGCACTTCTAGCCGCACCCTCTGGTTGCCAGCACTGACATAGGACACCACAAATCGGTCCACTTCGGCCAGGGGGCGCAGCCAGCTGAGCTCCAGTGTGGTGGGCGTCACTGCCACCACGCGGAGGTCCTGGGGACCATCGATCACTAGCCGGGTCAGAGAGGAGGGCTCAGGCCATGGGCTTCTTCCCGGGAGCCTAGCCGCTCCCCGCCACAGCCCCTTCCTTGCCCTGCCTCCCTAGGCAGAGTCCCAGCCCCTCCGGAACCCAGCCCTCCCCAGGGCCGCGTCCCCGGGCCCGGCTCTCACTGGTGGTGATGGTCTTAGAGGCCGGGGGGCCCCAGCTGGTCCCTCGAAGGGCACGGACAGTGACCTCGTACTCCTGACCGGGGGCCAGTCCTCTCTGGTCATAGGCAGAGGCAGAGCTGGGCACCCGCGCCGTGAACGGGGGGCTCCCTCCCTCTGCCTGTGAGAGAGAGAGAGGGAAGCAGGTAGATCAGGGGCGGGCACTCTGGTCCCCGAGTGTCTTGTCTGCCCAACTCCAAGCTGTCCACGTGGACTGCGTGGAACGCGGCACTCTAAGGTGGGGAGCATGGGAGTTCACGGCTGCACGCCCAAAGCCTTACCTCACACCACCCACCTCTGTGGGCGGCTCGCGTATATGAGCCCCCTTAGTTCTCCCAACAACCCTATGAGACAGAGTCTGTTAGTCCCACTTTACAGATGAGGAAGTGGAGGCACAGCTGGGTAAGTGTCCCACTAGCTCACCCTCAGCAGGAAATGTGACCCTGGTTCTCCTCCCATGGGCACTCACTCTGTCCCTGTGGCTGCCCCCGCAACCCACACCACCTGGGCACAAGGAGGCTTCTCTTGAGCTTTGTCCTTTCAGAAGAGATGAAGCAAAAGCAGATCCCTCTTCAAGTTTCACTTCCCCCTCAGGCTCACGTCTCCCACCAGAAGGGCTGCCCATGGTCGTGTAATTTGGATGAGACCTGCTCATAATGTTTCCCCTCAGGGGCTTTTTGGCAGGCTTGCAGATCTTGTAAAACACTCCCTGCCTTGCTGAAAAGTTTGCACAAGGATGTTTCCTGATTGCCCTTTTTTTTTTTTTTTTGTCTTTTTGAGACAGGGTCTCCATATGCAGTTCATGCTGACCTTGAGCTCACTTTGTAGCCCAGGCTGGCCTCGAACTCGCAACGATCCTCCTGCCTCAGCCTCCCGAGTGCTGGGATTACAGGCGTGCGCCACCACGCCCGGCTCCCGATCGCCGATTTTTGTACCTGGCGTTGTGCTGGGCACGGGAGACACAAAAATACCAGCTACTATCCTGTCCTTAGATAGCTCATCAAGTAGCTAATGTACATGCCCAGGTGAATCTATGCATAAAAATGCCTGTGAGAAGACTACCCTCCGCTTTCAACAGTACATTTAAGGCAGCGTGATTATGTATGGTGCTCCCCCAGGAAATCTGCTGGACACCGACCCAGGAAGGGTCTCTCAGGGTGCCAGCCGCTGGGGAGGCAGGAGGAGCTGCCATCTGTGAACATTCTAGCAGCCCCGTGTCTCTGAGCTGTCCGGCGAGGCCGGCTACTGAGGACACTATGTTCTGCTCAGCTATGTTGGCCGTGATGGGTGCACGTCCATTCATCCAAGTAGGGTTGGAAATTTTCAAAGATACTCTCCTAAACTGAGAGAATTGTGGGAAAATCAACATAGTAAACACCAAAGTATAAAAACAGATGACAAGGCCACGTCGTGATTTCTGGGTTCAGGATGAAATAAAGCTTTTTTAAAAGAAATTTTTTTTTTTTTTTTTTGGTGGTGCTGGGGTTTGAACCCAGAGCCTTTGCACTGAGCTACATCCCCAGCCCTTTGTTCAATTTTAAATTTTGAGATAGATTCCGACTAGGTCACGAAGTCGCACCAGCTGCTTATCTTCTGCTTGGGAGACCTGTTCCTAATGGGCCATGGACTGGCCCTGGCTTGTGGCCCAGGTGTTGGGGACCCCTGAGTTTCAGGCGTGTGCCACCACACCCAGTTAAAATAAAGCTTTGTTGGTTTTCTGGGTTGAAGTTTTCCCGGACACACAAGAACCCGTTCTTTTCCTATGCACCTCCATCTAGAACACTTCAGTTGGCCCTTACCAGTCACCTGTGAAACCCTCAGCCTTCTCAGAACCTACCTGCCTGTCGCCCCCACAGTCTCTGTCACTGTCTCTTTTATTCTTCCAACACACTCACACACACTCACACACACTCACACACCCACCTCTGTGCTGATGCCTGGTTCTTTCACCCAGGGGAGCCTACCACAGAGTCCCCCTTCACGCCTTCAGATTAACCCGTGTATCTCCTCAGCACCTCCTGATCTCCCTGGCCTGAGACAGGCTCTCCGGCCAGAGGCTGGCAGCTGGCTCTATTCCTTGGTAAAGCTCGGCTTCCTCACTGAGTCTTCTTGGCAGGCTTTGGACCTTATCTTCAATATCAACCTCATGACCGCAGAAGGAGGACCCACCTCGGCCGGTCCCTGGAGCCTACCCACTCCTGTCTCCATGTTGGGACGAGACCTGAGCAAAAACGTTTCTGGGTCCAAGGTGTGTGTCCCGGCGGACGCGTGCTGGAGCCCATGTCCGGGCTGCAGGAGACGCCACCCAGACAAGGAACGCGTGCCCCGCTTTCTACTCGGGCTCACCGCCTCAGGCCCCAGACCTTCTCTCACATTCACAGGCGGTGGAGGGCGTGAGGCCCTGGGGTTCACCTGGAGGGCTGTCACCCCACAGGGCAGCAGGCACTCCCCGGCCCTCCTGATTCGGGAGCTGACAAGCTGTGTTTCTACTGAGCTCCGAGGTGATGCTGACGTCAGAGAACACACTGAGCACGCCGAGCCCCGCCGGGTCAGAGTGACAGTGCACCCGTGCTAGGACAGGCAGGAGGGGCTGTCCTCTCTGCACGCTGCACCAGGAGCGGCGGTGCTTCTGGAAAGAGGAAGGGATGAGGCAAAGACAGGAAGGAAGACGGCAGGGGCAGAGGACAGGAAGCCACCAAATCTACTCCGCACCAAGAGAACGGGAGGGACCACCGGCCAGGACGAAAGGCTGGAGCCCAGGGGCAGCCAGAGCGCAGACAGACAGGCTCTGAGGGCTGGAGCTGGCTGGTTGGTATCCACGGCAGGTGTCTGGGGACCAATTCACGGGACCTCCCTCACACCCAGGGGACCCAGGGGTGGCAGACTGCGGAGCTGAGGGCAGGCCTGAGCCTGGCACAACCCGCAGAGCCAGCACCGCCGGGACGGACCGAGGGGCGGAGCCTGGGCTTGGCAGGAAAGCTGCACCGCTCGACAACTCAAGGACGAGTCTGTGTGCAGAGCAGGAGACCGCGCTGTCTGAAAGCCCCTCTATGGCCAGTGTTTATTTTAATTCTTCATGCCTTGAAGTTTGTTAGGAAAATTCCTTTTAAAAGTCCTGCCCTTTCCAGATTAGAGCTCTGTAAATAATATACACACAGAAGAAAGTGGGAGAAACACTTTAAAAGTTAGCAGTGCTTGTTTTAGTGAAGCAGCCAAGAATGATTTCTCTTTTCTCTAGTTGCCAAATTCTTGTCCTACGGTTAAATTATTTTTATAGCAAAATATAATTTTTAAACAGGAGAAGAAAACCCACGCTACACTGGCTGTGCCACAGAGTAGGGGCAGAAGCCTCTGCTTTGGCCAGAACGCGGGAAACAGGACTGCTAGGGGTCCGGCCGGGCTTGGGGAGGGGCGTGGTGAGAAGCCCGGGGCCAAGGCGGAGGTGGCACCAGCGCCTCTCAGCTGTCCCTTCTTTTTCTTTTTCTTTTTTTTTTTTTTTTGTCTTTTCTTCCGGTACCAGGAATCGAACTCACACCCTTGCACTTGCCAGGCAGGCGCTTTGCCGCTGAGCTAAATCCCCAGCCCTCAGCTGTCCCTTCTGTCCCAGTGCCTCAGCCTAGGGCGTTATTTGTTTCTCCAGAGTCCCGGCCGGGCTGGTGACGCTGGTAGCAATGGTCACTTCCCGTCGCCTTAGTGAGATGGTGCAGGAAAACACAAGCTGGCCAGGGGGGGATCAGATGATCTGGACCCGGGGAACAGCCATATCCCGCAATTCCGATCTGCCTGAAGGGCGGTCCCCACTCCACAGGCCTTGTCCTCACCGTGCCCCCCAAATGTTTTAAGAGCAAGCTGGGTGGAGGCAGAGAAAAAATGCTTTGCGATGCGCTCATGACATGGAGGAGAAGCAAGTTCACAGGCTCGAAGTTATTTCAACAACAGTTTGGACAGCTTGGCCCAAACCAAAAGCGATGACGCTGAACAGAACCAAAGGCAAAGCCTTGTATCCGGACTGCCCCTCCTCCCCTCCTTCCCTCCCTCTCTGCTTCTGTCTGTTTTTCCTTCCTTATCTATGTTTTCTAAATTTTTCACACTGGGCCTACATGGTTTTTTTTATAATAAAAAAAGATGCTTTTCAAAAGCAGATAAGATCTGCCAGGTACGCTGGTGCGTGCCTGTAACCGCAGCAATTCAGGAGGCTGAGGCAGGACGATCACAAATTTGAGGCCCTCATAGATAGTGTAGTGAGACCCTGTCTCAAAATGGAAAATAAGCCAGGAATAGTGGTGCTGGCCTGTAATCCCAGCACTTGGGAGGCTGAGGTAGGAGGATCGTCCCTGTGGAGTTAAAGGCCAGCCTGGCTTTATAGTCAGTTCAAGGCCAGCCTGAACTGCTAAAACAAGGCTCTCTCAAAACACAATAAATAAATAAATAAATAAATAAGGGCTAGGGATGCGGCTCAGTGATAAAGCACTCCTGGATTGAGTCCCTGAACTGTAAATATAACCCCCTGACAAGTTTTTGTGACCAGTTTTCTTATTCTTTTCTTCTTGTACCGGGAATCAAACTCAGTACCTCACACTTGCCAGGCAGGTGCTGTGCCACTGAGCTACATCCCCGGCCGCTCTGTGACCAGTTTTCGTGACCGCAGTTAACATACGTCAGCTCTGTGAAACACCAGTGCTCTGGAGTTGCCGGCGGCCCCTCTCTGACCCCTATGTCAAGGGGTGCGTGCACAAAGCAGAAGGCACAGGAGGGGAGGAAGTTAGGCAACAGCGTCAGGGACAGGGGTGGCCAAGCCAGGGGCTTTGCCTGGGAGGTGCGCGCTGACGAGGTGCCTGAGGTGCGGCACACAAAGGCAGCACAGCCTGTGCCCTCTCCTGGCGCTGCCCGTTCCACCCGCTCCTGGAGCTCGGCGCCCTCCTCACCCTCACCGTGGGGATGAACTGAATCTGATAGGCATCGACGGGGCCTGGAGCCCGTGTCCACTCCGTCCGAACCGTGGTCTCCTCCAGGAGGTGCATCCTCATGCCCTCGATGGCTGGCACTTCTGCCCAGGGGAAGGGGTAGCAGAGCGGGTTAGCTTGAGGCAGCCCCTCCCAGCCCCGGCCACGCCCCTCACTCAGGGTGGGCAGAGGGGCCCAGCAGATCTCCACTGCTCTGCCCAGGCCGGAGACGCCCACGGGGGCCCTCTCGCCAGCCTTCCCAGCCCCAGGAACACAGCATCTCCTTAAAGACAACTGAGAGGTCCCCATCCCGCTCCTCCAGGTCTCAAGGCCGGCCCTGCCTGCTGGCCGGGCCCCACGGCCCTGCCACCCCTTGCGGACGGTGACCCCTTCCCCCAGCACAGGATCACCCTCAGCTCCTGCCGCCCCTGCGCCCTCTGCGCTGGCTCGGGTCTTCCCATGGCGTCTGTTCCCAGCGCCCCAGGCCCACTCGCTCACCTTCCCCGCAGTCCTCCCCGGCATAGCCATCTTGGCACACACAGCTGCCCTGGCGACACTCTCCCCTGCCGCGGCAGTCCCCGGGGCAGCTCTGGACGGCACAGTCCGGGCCGCTGAAGCCCTCGACGCACACGCAGCGGCCCGCGCGGCACAGTTCCCGCGGCCCGCAGCCGCCGG